CCTTTCTCTCTCTCTCTCTCTCTCTCTCTCTCTCTCTCTCTCTCTCTCTCTCTCTCTCTCTCTCTCTCTCTCTCTCTCTCTCTCTCGCTCTCTCCTTCCCCTGACTGCAATTATATTCCAAGGAGATCGTTTCTCAAGTCGGATATACCAATGAAACTGCTACATATTATGGCATCCCCGAAAGCAGTCTCACCGTATTCCCCTCTTGCTTTTCTTGTGACAACTTTCTGATTTCCGAGCTGCGTCACCGTTATTGAGGGGGTTTTTAAACTCATTTATCTTTTAAAGGTTACATATCTTGGGGGTGGCTCAAATTTAATGTAACTCACTGCCCACGCTAATATTTGGCGTCTTCTCATCAAAGTTCTATTGCATGCTTTCCAATAGTGTGACTGTGGAAATCTTGAAGAGTTGATGGATCTTCTGTCTTTTTCGTAGTTCTGTGATATTTACCTCCGTATGAACCTCAAAAGACTGGAAACTGTGTATAATCCGCTGTCCCACCCACAGACAATCCAACCACCCCCCTCTCACCTCACCCCCACCCCTCGCTCTCTCCCAGCCCAAAGCCGCTTTTGAGTTGCCTCTCGCACGCTTTACCACAGCATGTCTGTGATTTGAGTGACGTCTTCACTCCCCGCATGTTTATTGTTTTGTCCTCCACACAGATTTCTAAAGTGGGGATTTGTCAATCAAGTGTCCTGTCTAAAACATAAAATAGACATCAAGCCTCTACGGTATGGAGCATGCCTTAGAAATTACTTTTGTTCCTGGACGGAGTTTAAATTCACGTGGGGAAAAAACCACAAAAACAATCTCCCATAACACATTTCTAGGCTCACCTTGAATTAGTATTTTAAATATATATATCTTTTATTTTATTTTTCATTGTTAACACAGTTGCAGCTCCTTAAAACGGGCATTCTGTCCTTTTGGCAATTCTGTGGGTTCACGTGTGAATTGCATCAAAGCCCCGACTTGAAAAGACACCGTAAATAGAAGTGTTTTCCCTGTTGACGGTGTGATTCTCACAAGACCTTCGCCAGTGCAAGCTGTGATATAACTCGGCCCCGTCTTGCTTGAATGGTCGGAACACTGTCATTCTTCCAGCTGAGGAGCGCCTAACACCCACTCGTTTATTTCGCTTTTTGGTGATTTTCTTTCTACTTCTACCACGCCATGTAACAGAAGAATACGCAGCTCAACTCAGCCGTGCGTACCTTTTTTCTTTCCATTCGCCGAGAAAGGTTTTGTTTTGTTGTTACGAGCAAAAACTTTCTGAGGGTGAAAAGGATGCAACAGGGAGTGACCCTTTTCACTTTCGTATTGGATAAGACTACGGGGGTATACTGAGGAGCTAAGAATAACCTATGTACAACCTTTTAGGCGGATACGCCTTCAGCTAGGAAGACACGAGATACGAGTGCGTATAAAGTACATTGTACTTGACAGTGCCGTTAGCTTAAAGGACAGCCGAGTTCTGGTGACAGACGGATACTTTGAGTTACTAACAAAACATCCCCTTTGTGATCTTCTCATTCTTCTCGGTCGCATTACACTGTAAGTCCGGTATCTATCAAACAACACTATAAGTGCGGTATCTATCATATAATTGTATTATTATATTATTATTGGGCCGTCCTGTTCAGTTCTTCAGTTGACCAACACAGCTTCTCCTAGCCTGTAGTGCTTATAGGGTTGGCCACGTGTGTCGGCGTTGTGATTTCGAGGACAAAGTTTTATTGACAGAAAGACGTACAAGTTCTGTGTTTCTGAGATGGTGCATTGATAAGACTTAACGGTCTGATAATAAAAGGTGTTATATGACAGAGCTGAACACTGAATGTGCAATTTTACTTGATTTTTCTTATTAGCTACATTCGTTTGCTGTACTTTCAACAAAACCCAGGTAGGTAATGATTCAACAATATCAATGCTGTCAAGCAGATCTATTTCTCTTCCACTGCGTGTGTGTGAGGGTTTTAAAAGTAGACTATACATACCAGAAGGTGCGTCATTCTTACAAGTACTGTCGCTGTATCAGTTTTTTGCTGTTGTTGTTTTTGTCGTCGTTGTTGTTGTTGCTTTTGCTGCCGTTGTTATCGCTGGATTGTAATGGCTTTTTTAAAATAGGGTTTTG